TCTCCCCCTCTCTTAAGACTAACTTAACTCATCTTTTAAAACAAAGATTAATCATCTAAATCACAGGATTGCTTCTGGAATTAACAAAAGATGTTCCTGGTTTAGCACACTGACTGGCAAAGCACAGGGTCTCCAAAGAAGGGAACTACTATTATTCTAATCAAGTGAGCTACTCAATGTATGGGACTGTCCCTATGGGATCTATAGGGCTTAGGGTAAATGGCCTCAAGTTTTTACAAGTTCCTTTATAGAGGGTTTATGATAGCTTAACTTTTCTTAGATTTTTAACACTGGGCTGTCTGCTTTTAGCAGTTTCTCCATTTTTAAGTTGCTGTGAACTGGGGAATGAGATTTAGCTGATAGATGAAGTCAGAATTTGGGGCCACACGGAGGTGTCCCCTAGGACTCAGAAACAATGTCCTCCCAGAGTCCAACTTTAAAACCAACATATAATCGGTAGAATAATCTTACAGATACAATGGCTCTCAAGCCAGAAGGCTTCTATTGAAACCCAGTCTGACTTTATTTATTTGACAGAGAGAGAGAGATCACAAGTAGGCAGAGAGAGGAGGATGCAGGCTCCCTGCTGAGCAAAGAGCCCGATGTGGGGCTCGATCCCAGGACCCTAAGATCATGACCTGAGCTGAAGGAAGAGGCTTAACCCACTGAGCCACCCAGGCACCCCCCAGTCTGACTTTATCAACAGTAGCTATATGGTGTTTAAGTGGAAAATCCCCAAAAAAGAGTCATCAGTGGCAGATCCAGGCAGTGCCCAAGCCCTTCAGTGAAGGGACTTCATGGATGGAGTCCCCACTGGCAAGACTCTCTTAGACATTCTAGGTGCCAGGACTGTTTCCCGTGATGAGCTCATAAATGGGCTTTGCTGCAGATCAGTCTCACGAGCTTGGTTTAAGTGCTTTACCCACAAGAAATGAACTCCCTGAGGTGCTGACAAATTACTCAAGCCTGGAAACCTAAGGGCTAGGCCGTGACCAGGCAAATGCCCGCTTGGGATACTTCTGGGTGTGACGTGTTGGGACTGTGCTCTGACTCTGAACGGTGACGGGGGGCAGTGTCTCAGGTTAGAAATCTCTGGCCCGGGGGGCTGGTCTTGCCCTTCACGCTCCGGTTTCCCCTAAGCCGGTTCCTTAACCTCTCTGACCCTCTTTTTTTCCCTCTCCTACAGAACGGGATGACAGTCCTTCAGAGCTCTATTTCGGCTCAGTATTTAAACCAAAGTAGCAAGCGAGTGGATCTGTTGAATTAAAAACACCAGCCTCCCCTCCTCTCCCGTTCCAGGTGCTCCGGTCCTGCCGGACAGGCCCACCTGCCATTCACCCACCCACCCGAGCAGCACGCCACTTGCTTCGTGACTCCGCGGCCCAGGGACACCTCCTCGAAGTGCTCTCTGGCACACAGAGCATCACACCGCAGTGCCTTCTTCTGCCCTTGGAGCAAACGGTGCCTCCGTTTGTGATGACAGCTTTAAGGGGGCCACGGCTCCTTCAGGATGATTCTATTTACCCCACAACAGCCGCCGTGACATCTCCCCGGCTCCTCGGATGACATCCGGGTATCCTGTGTGTCAAGGATCCGCTGTCTGAGACCACCCTGTCAATAACAGAATTGTTCCAGGTCTCAGGGTGGCCTCATCTACGGAGGAACCCTCCGTCTAGAACAGGCAAATCGAAGGGTGTTCGGAGACTGTATTAACCATCTTTATTGCACTCAAAAGAACTCGAGACACAAGAAGAGAGAGTGGATTTTCATAGAGGTGTTTCCTTGACCCAGTTACATTTTTATTCAGTGAAAAAAGTTGACATTGAGACAAAAATTATCATAAAATTGTGCAACAATATAGTAAAATCTTCAGCAGAAACAGGTGATTTTGGAAACGTATCAAGGCAATTGAAATCATAAACGCCTAATTTCACTTTGGAGAGAAACACGTATACAGTGTTTCACTTTAAATAAGAGCAGAGTAGGCCTTTATTTTGCTGCCAATACTTGGATTTTGCCTAAAGTTTCTAGCAATTCGTAACAAGAGTCTTTACAGGAGAAATGACACGGGATATCTGAGAATAATGTTCCACTTCGGCACTCGTACTTTCTTCCATTGGCGTTAACACACATGAAACAGATACCAGTCTCGGGTTACTTGGCTCTGAGGATTTAATTCCTAATATGGCTGCTCAAACTCAGTGGGCAGAAACATACACGCAACCCGTCCTCCCTCAACCCACGTCCAATGGTGGTTCCCATTCTGAGAATGAGCTCATTGTCCATGTACCCAACCACCCACACCTCCTGCTATCTACTCCATATCTCAGTCTTGCATAGAAAGTAGTCTATAGAAACTTAATGCACTGGCTTTTATTACACAAAAATTGTACCTGAAAGGCAGCACACACTCCAGTTAATAAAAATAACAGACTCGGAATGTCAAGAGACAATCCCAACAAAGTGGAAGATTCTGCACGAAGTTTCAAGAGTCAATTCTGAAAATCAATATGGAGATGGTATTCGGTTGACTTATCTCCCAGAACCCTTCTCTGAGGGGTCTCCCAGCTCTGTCGAAGGAAGAGAAAAAATCTTCTCGGGGAGGCACCATGCCCCCCTTAGTAGGGAAGTGACCAACCAAACCTAACTAGATGAGGTTTCTGCCCTTAAGGAAGCAGTGGGACCATAATCTTACAAGATGGAGGGACCATTGGATGGATATTTGAAGACAGGATTCTCCAAGGGGAAGTGGACGATTATCTCTAAGAGCCTCACCACACCACCGCTCTCCCCAGGTCCCCCTAAGACAGCCACTGTGTGAGAGGGGGTACGTTCCTTAAATGGCTCTAGCCTAGTTTAACCTAGGAGGCCAGGATGACGGGCAGGAGCGAATGGCGCAGTGTGTCCCACACCTGTCCCACCCAAGTGCCCCGAGTGACAGATGCTCTGCCCCGAGCAGAGATGGAACCCCAGGAACCTCTCTTCCCAAAGTCCAAAGTTTCAACCAGTGACCCAGCATCATAACCTTGTACCCAGTAGGCCAGGGCAGCCAGCAATTCCTGGAGCGTCTCACCTGTCTGGAAAGGTCTGCATAGACATGGCTCCTCCCTCGACTCCTCCTCGGAATTTGACTCTGTCATTTCACCCGCCTGGACCCGGGTCTCACGAGGCTCGAGCTCGAGCGGTGTTTAGTACATAAAGGGGCAAGATCAGCCTCCAGAGAAAATCTGTACATAATCCCCCTGCCTGCCAAATTTTAGTGGTCCGTTAGTGGTCCACCATGGCCCACGTGGATGTGGGCTTCTGACATTCAAATGTGCGCTGGGGGAGAATAAAACCTTTACCCTGTACAGTGTGAACTTTCAAGGTGGCATCTCCAACGAGGTACGAAAAAGCCCCTTCTTCATGAACAGGGGCTCCGACTGGTCACAGTGAAGACAATTACCTGGTCACTTCCAAAGGCCGCACATACTTTTTGTTCTCCTCTCCTACGGCCACTCCCTGGACTCTCGCAGACGGCACATGTACGCCGAAACCCCACAAAGTTATGCAGAGGGAAGGAAGAGTGCGTGCTTGAAAAGTTCATAAAAATATACAATTTACACGTAGCTGTGTCTACCTAGCTTAGTCTTCAGAAACTCAGCTCTTCTGTGTATATAAAATACTCTAGCCCTAAAAGGCTGCTTTGTCTCAAACAGCACAGTGACGTTCTCTGGGGAGAGGTGTGATGGTCAGTCTATACAGTACTGTGCACTAAGCGCTGGGAGGCACTAGGAACAGGAACTGGGTGCTCAGACGTGTCTCCAGTCGCCGACTGGACACACAGGCTCTGTAGAAAGGCTTGCCTGCGGAGCCATGGAGAAGAACGTCTCAGAGCCTTTGAGATCAGCTTCTACAAATGCCAACGAGAAGTTGGCAGAAGAAGAAAATATACTTTCTAGTGGTCCGATTAAGATAAGGTAAGACAAGATGAAGCCAAAGAAAATCCATTCTTTACGAAACTCACAAAGGAAAGGGCGAAGAAGCGGGGAGAAAGGCCGGAAGGAGGCTCCTCATGACCACCGCTTGTTAAAATACAACGGAGCCTTACCCACACAATCTAACTACATGTCTACAGTTGAAAATACTCCTCATTCAAAATATATATATATGTGTGTGTGTATATATATAAATTAAACTTTTTAAAACTAAAAAATTTAATTGGCTCTTTGTTTTCCAGACAATCACTAGATAGAACAAAACTATATTCTTGCCCAAGAATGATACTTTTGGTTAAAAGAAAGCAAATATTTGTGAGAAGGTGACACGGCACACCTCGGAGGACATGGGGTCTTTACGAAGCTTGCATATAAAGGACACATATTCAGAAACATGACTTTGGGACATCCCCGAGCTCCCTGTTTCTCAGCTGAGAAGTTCTCCAGTGGGGCTCCTCCAGCAGGAATCACAAGGGCGCTGGACGTCGGTGTCTAGGGCGGGTGTTGGTCCGCAATGGGACTCCATGGACCTAGCAAGTGGCCATGAGGTGAATACCCGGGTGGTGTTTAAAGGCATAAGGAATAATAGCTCAGCTTGTTTTACAGAGCGAGCAAGCTCTAGCGTTGCTGTGACTCTCAATTAGATGGAATGGTCTCAAGTCCGTCCATCTCCTATATCTCTGTCGGAACGAACAACACCCTTTAAACTGGGCAGGGGTGCGGGGAAGGAGGTGGAAGGAAAGAAAAGAAAAAGAAAAAAAAAAAAAGAGAAGGCACTGACCCAATTCAAAATGACTGCATATATCAGGGACAGAGTTTTAAAGATAGTAAGTAGCCACCTGAACGTAAATATGAAACTACATGTGAGGGGCGCGTGGGTGGCTCAGTCGGTGAAGCATCTGTCGTCGGCTCAGGCCATGATCTCAGAGTCCTGGGATCGAGCCCCACATGGGGCTCTCTGCTCAGTGGGGAGTCTGCTTCTCCCTCTCCTGCTCCCCATGCTTATACTCTGACTTGCTCTAATTTAAAAAAAAAAAAAATCTTAAAAAAACAAACAACAAAAAAAACCTTTACATTCGAGATTCTTCAGTGGTAAGGAAAAACAAGATATCTGAAGGACAAATTAGGTACTCTTATCTGCCAGTGTATCTCTCATGGCCCAGACCTAGCACTCTCCCACGAGCAGTCATTTGTGGCGATGACCACGACACCAGTGTATAATAAAGCAGTGTTCTCAGCTTGTAGCGTGGAGAGCTACGTCTTGTGCAGAGGCGTAGACGATAAGATTCCAGCGGTGAACATAAGAGAAGAAGCTGTTGCTTGCAGGGCTCTCGGAGCCGCACGTCTGTCTAACTGAAACCGAGCAGATTCAATGTCCTCTTCTGCCCGATACCATTACATGACACACAAGTGAATAAAAACGGATTGTTTCCGGAATGGCAACAAAACTGCTTCTGTTCCCCACCCCTCGACCCTACAACCCCTCATAACGTGCGGAGTCGACGACCACGAAAGCCTTGCCTTATATAGAGTCCGAATAAATTAACAAAAGTACAGAAAAGAACTTTCCCCCACTATACACACAAACTCTTTCATATAAACAAAATCCAAACAAAATTTAAAATTTGAGCACACTTTCAATGGCGGGGGGAGGGGAGGGGTTGGGAGAGATGCCACCCATCACCCTCTCTCAAAGTTTTTATTAAATACATTTCTGTGTCTTAGAAAAATAAAAAGAACGGCCAATTTATTGACTCAAAATTATCTCACAGACTTAAAAGCATGCCCAGCAAGCACAGCCCTGTAAGACTACATTAATATGAAATCAGAGCAATTTGGTTACTAAAATCAACCTGGTTTGAAGTTCACAGCTGATTACTACAAAGTTTATTCATTCCTTTCTTTCCTTTTTTGTTTTTGTTTTTGGCCGATATAAAAATAACGTATTGCAACTCAAAGTGCATCTTTTAAAATAAACCATCGACTATCTTTATCAAATAAAATATTTACACCATTTGGTTTCTAGTGAGGAGAGCTTTCAGGCTATCACCATGGGGACGTCGTCTGAAAATCCTGTTATCATAGGGGCATCTTCATCGTCCTCCCCTAAAGGCAAAAGAGTCAGTCCGTGGTGAGTTCCATCGCATCTGCATCCAACCCCAACTCCCACCGCTCCGCCCCGACCACTCCCAACACCACCAGCCTGGAAAATCGGGACCACAGCCCACCAGGCGCAGTAGCCAAAGCCAAATCCCAGCTCAGTTCCCCGCCGACACGCTTGGGTCACCTTCTCCCCCATCAATGGGTAGCCAAGCTTATTTTAATGGTAGCTTGAACTTGACCAAATAAAGAAAGTCAATCTCTTAGAAGGGAGACTCTTATGACCTACCCAAAAGTCCGAAGGGCAATTTAGCTTCCCTAATTTGAATGATCCACAGCTTATGTCAACAGTGAAACCTCATAATCTGCTTCCTCCTCTGAACCCTCACTGCTCTGAGGGTAGGGATCTTCGAGGGGCTAAGAAAGTCCCGCTGTGGCCCCTGTTCCAATCCTGTGCAACTAAGCTGTGTGATCCACATTCAGTGATCACTGTGTGGTGCCACCACGGGTCCAACTCCTTTTGCCCCCAGGAACGGAAGCAAAGAATGCAGCCCATTCATGCAAGGCAGTCCAAATACTTGTACAAAGCAAGACAGGAAACTGAGAAGAGGGAGCAAAGCTATTATCAAATGATCAGTGGGCAGGGAATATACAAGTACTTCATAAAGAAAAAAGATTGTAACTGGTTTCCAGAAAAAAATAGGTACGTGAAATCACATTCGGGGAAGACCCCCCAAACACACCTAATTTACCATATTAAGTGGTCTACTAGCTCTATTAGCTTTTAGAATCTGAGCATGCAGACATCTTAAAAGGGCTACTTCTTTCTTTTTCCCATACCATGCTGTGGGTACGGGAAAGAAGAATGGCCGGGGAGGTTTGACCAGCTGTATCAGAAAGACAGAGAGCCAGATGGAAAGGGCCTCTTTGGACAGAAGTCATCTGGGAAAGCATGACGTCTCCTCTTGACTAGGCTCTCCCAAGATGTCAGACCTCCAGATCCATGAAGGATGAGAGGGCTTGGACATTCCGGAAAATCTGCTGATGCTCTGGGAGTCTCCTAAGCCCCGGGCCCTCCTATCCTTTCTGCACAAGGCAAGCTCCTCCCAGTTCTTCCACAAAACCGCTCCCGCTCTGGGCCCAGGACCACACCGCTGAAGAGAGTACGAGTATTTTAACAGAGAAGCAAGTTCCAAGCTAAGGGCTCCAAAGGGTTTAACGTAAAGTAAAGCAGTGAGATCACTGGTTAACGAACCCCTCCTAAGTGTCCCAAGACAAGCCTGACCCACGCATCTCCTAACCAAGGACCCGGCTTTGGAGGAAGCCCGGGGCCGCCGGCCCCACTCACCCAGGTCGTCCCCCGAGGAGAAGATGGCTGAGCCCAGCCTGGAGCTGTAGTGGCTGTTGGCGAAGGCAGTGAAGCTGCTCTGCAGCCTCCGGTGCTTCGTGTACAGGACGGCAAAGCCGACCCCCAGGCTCAGCAGGACCAGGAACAAGATGGGCACCGCCACGGCAGCAACGTCAGTGGACCTGGTGGCCTGGGACGCCGACGCGCCCCCACCTGCTGGGGCAAGATGCCACTGCATTAGCCTCCGACGTCAGGGAGGGGTTTGGGGAGGGCGATGAGGTGACCCAACCCCCCCCCCCCCGCCCCCGCCAACACCACCAGCACCAAAACCGCTAGGAGCCGGCAAACAGTGAGCCGAGCCGCCGGCCTAGTGCCGCGCGTTCCTGCACCTGACGCCTGTTTCCCGATGCCTCACCACGAGCTGACAGCCCACGGGCCTCGGGCATGCAAATACGGTAATTACATTAGCCTCCTAATCACGGCCTTGTTGTTTATTTAGATAATCTCTTGGAAGGGAGACCTTTGTTGGGGTATCAACATTGATTTCATTAGCATTATTACTTAAGACCACTTGCTTGCCTTACATAAGAGGATGTGAAATCAGACCACTAATTAACGAGATTGCAATTATTTCCCCCTACTTGGCACCAAAGTCACTCTGAACTGCAATTACCTGAAGCTCCATTAAGTGATACAAACGAGATTCCTTTACTGCAACACTGACTTAACAGCTCATCAAGTTTTATGAGGTTTGATTTTTTTTTTTTAACGTAGATAACAGAGAGAACCCTTCCATACACGTTTCACATTTTTTTAAATGCTCTTTGCAAAGCCAGTTCGGGGTCTATGACCTAACAACGATGCTCACTTCCCCATGTCTGAAACAAATTCCAGCTCTATGATGATGGGCTGGTAGATCGGCCTCCACAAGGCTCTAGGGCCAAGCCACCTTTGGGTTTGGGCTGGTCTTAAGAAATCGGGGAAAGTCTGAGCCTGAGGGCCGAAAGTGGAACTTGGAAGTCAGTTTGAGCTACAGAAGCACAGTGGACTTTCCAGGTCCCATAAGGAGCCTCGTCAGGCTTGAGGTCATTCCCTGGGATAGGGCTAAGTGGTACGGACCAGGCCTGGGCCTCACGGGGAAGGCCCGGTAACGACCCAGGAACTCACCCCAACCAGATCATCAAGATGGGCCAGAGAACAGCCATTTCTTGCAAGACCAATCTAACAACTCAGAATCCATGCCTTTAATTTCTCTCATTATTGACCCACCAAGAAAAGCTGCGACAAATTCTTACATCATACGTCCCAACCTAACCCCAGGTGTGAACTGATAAATTAGGGGGATGCTCTTAGCTGGAAGAGTCGGGAGGAACCAGGGTGGTGTAGTAAACAGGAATGAGTGAAGCCCCCTCACCCCACTTCTGAGGGGACAGCAAACATCAAGGGACAAGACAGAGACGAACTGAGGCCTCATGGAGAGATTCTTCCTGCTTGATAAGCTCAGTTTTATTAAGGCAACACTTTTTCCCAGAGTCTATTTCAGTCGTTAATTGGTTTTACTTAGAGAGGAGGCTCTATTTAGGAAACGCTAGGTTAACAAGACTTTTGTTGTTTGTTTTCTGTAAGACCTTCTCAGAACCTCAAGTATGCTGGGATTCTCCAAAGGGATGCAGTCTGCCAAGGTTTTCCTTTTAGGGAGGTGCCTGGGAAGCAGGACATGTCGGAGCATACAACAACTCAAACGCAAGATTTTGGCTTGAGTGTTGGTGAGCTCCTGGCTGGGAAGAAATGGAACAAAAAAAGACCAGTGGCAAAGCATCTGTTGATATCCTGGCTAAGCTACTACAATACAAGCAGAATTTCTGTGTAAAGGAAAGGTTCCTCTCCTCCGCCATCAGCATGACCCAGCGCCAGCATCTGTGAGGGTTCAGAAGACAAGATGCCAGGCCAAATTCAGGTTCTGCTCGGGAGCGATGGCTAAGACGAAGCTATAAAATCAGTTACTCTATGGGAAGGAGATTAGTTACTGACTTGAAAGAACCACAGGGAACGTTAGCATATTGGAGGCTCTGAGAAGTCCTGCAAAAAACAAACAATAAAACTCATACCAACCTAGTGTTTCCCAAGCAGGACCTCCTTTTGAAACAAAACCCATTTTTAACCTATTCCCGTTTTTGGGCTTTACATTCAGAATGTGGTCACTTTGTAACCCCAGCTCCTCACACCACGCCTGGCTCAGGAAGTGTTTGTTAAATCAGTGCCTGACTAAATTGAAACGTAAGTGATTTTCTTCTGAACTAAAAGAATTTTTTTTTTTCCAAGAGAGAGAACATTTTACATGCACTTTGGAAAGACACATCTTGGGGCACCTGGGTGGTTCAGTCAGTTAAGCATCCAACTCCTGGTCTCGGCTCTGGTCATGATCTAGACCCCTATGTCAGGCTCCTTGCTCAGCAGAATCAGCTTGGGATTCTCTGCCTCTCCCTCTGTCCCTCCCCCTGCTCTTACGCATGTGCGTGCTCTCTCCCCCAAATAAATAAAATCTTTAAAAAAAAAAAAAAAGACAAATTCATCAATTTGCCATCACCATGCTATATCCTTCATTGATTTCCCAGAACGGAAGACAGAAATGGCCCCATGAAGTGACTTACTGGACCCCAGCTCGTCGTACAGCAGGACAGCAGGCTCCCCACAAATCTGGCTGCCAAAAAGGCATCTTGCTTGCACGGTGAAAGTGTAATTATGACCCAGTTTCAGGTTGGAAATTTTAAAGAAATTGTCAGTAGTATTCCCAAGGTAAGCTGAGATATTCATGGCACTATCAAACATGTGTATCTCATAGCCCTGAAAACAAAGACACGAGAGATTGTTCAGGATCTTCAATAAGGACTCTGACAGCTTCTATTATTGGTTCCAACTTTATGTGAGCTCCTTATTGCAGGCTTTTATAGATGCTAAAGCACTTTGGGCTTCTTACTAGATCTTTTTACATTACCATTGAGATATGGGATGCAGAAAATGGTAATTTTCCCATCCCAAATGTCTCAAATAACTACCACACCCACTTATGAGCTGCAAAGTGGAAGTGAAAAGGTAGCCCTAATAAAAGCCATTTTAACAAATATTCCAGTGCACAAAGTTCTGGTCAACAGTTTACTCATTTGAAGTAATAGTAAATGCCACAAAGAATCCGGACAAGTCAGCAGTAGTTCCCCGTAATGGGATCTGACTGATAATAAATCCGGGTCACAGGGGACTCCAGCAGTGGGGTAAAAAAAGTCAGAACGTTTCTTGGTCGAACAGCGTGTGGGAACTCCACAGGCAGCCCACAGCTCCCTCTCCAGCTCCTGGAGGCGGATGGTTGCCCCAGACCAACCTGGCCTTGAAGAGAAAGCGCTTCAAGATCGGGCTAGGATCAGAACTGACTACTGGACTTCTCTGCTAATCTCTAAGTACCTCAGTGTCAAAGCTACCAACTCCCACCCCATCAGCATCAAAGAAAAGGCCTCCTCTCCTGTCTCTATCGACATACCAGGCCCCACCGCATACTGACCGGCTCTTGGTCCCCATTCCATTGACGCTGACCCGCCTATTCTCTGAACTAAGCCCGGTGTGGGGGCGCGGGGAGGGGAGGACATGCGACCTGCTTATGCACACTCCACGGGAAGTGAAGTACTGACCTGTCAGCTCAACCTGAAAGCCAGGCTTCCGCCACCTAGGAGCGACCCTGATGACGGCTGGCTGCCAAACTGGGCCTCCCAGCACCACTGGCCTGGAGTTCCATTCCTGCCTTCTCCATCCTACACTAGCATTCATCATTTTCTATCTAATATACACCTGCTGTAGAACATTTGCAAAATACAAAAAAGGTATAAAGAAAAACATTTAAATGACACAAACATCAACCACTTATTTAACTAGTCGTCTTCTGTTGGGACGTTAAAGTTGTCTCTTCTTTCTTGTTCCCAGAAATAGAACTGCCCCGGAGAGCCGAGTCCATAAATTCGTGGTGTATATCGTTTTCTCAGATTAAGATCCTGAAAGAACTGCCCAGTCAAAGGCTGTAAATGCTTTTCCTGTTTTGGATACGTGTTACCCAAATGCCTTACGGAAGGCATTTCCAATTCCTATCTCCAGAGCGCTAATCTCCCCGACTACAACTCATTCTGGTAACTGTTCGCCACAAACTTAGCCTGTTTCACGTGAAAGTGTCCTATCTCTGGGGTTCAGATTATCAGGGAGGTGGATCCTTCTTTTCTTTTGCCTACGACTACTATAGTTTTACTTTGTTACCTGTACCTTTTCCGAAATCAGAAGCAATTCGGGAACAAATCAGAAACAACAGAAATCAATTTCTGTTTTGAACGGCTTTGAAAGCTTTCTTTGTATTCGAGTATATTAACCATTTACACGTCACGGTTGGGAGAGTTGTGAGAATTTTCAAGTTTTAATCTAGTTGTGCTTCTGGCCTGACACCGTGACTGTTCACAACTCCAGCGCTCTTTGCCACCACCGAACCTGGCAACAGCCACAGCTGATTTACTGTGTCTCTATTTAGCTCCCGCTTTGCCAACCATGGGGACAAGCCGGGTCTACTACAGAATCTGTCCACCTCTGGGTGGCCAATCTGTTCCCTGGTGACGCTCTCCTTCTCCTCCCACCTTCTGTTGTGAATACAGTCATCGGTTTGCCAATGGCAGACAAAACAGTGTTTTCTCTAAGGTCAACAGACTGTGTTCGAGCACTTTCTGCTCGCGCAGACACCACTGCAAAGAAACCTCGAGGCCAGTTTGAGGCTCAGCCCCTGGCATGGGCGCCACAGCCCTGCTCTCAGACTGGCTGTGGAGGACGGGGCCCTGGTTCCGATGCCCAGCCCCACCCAGCTTCAGAAGGCACAGCGAAGGTTCCAGCCCATTTCCCTGTCTTTAGGGAAAGACAAGTTCAGGAATGAAAAGTGCTTAGCGCAGAGATTCTCATCTTTAATGGGCAGTATAAACATTTCACTAATTAGCAAGCCCACAGAAAATGGTCCTTTAATTCTCGAGTTCACTCCCTTGCGCTATTCTGTTTTTTCCCCATCTATGCCAGCATGCCATTAACGAGCTCATCTCTAAAGCTGCGTTTCAATTAGATTCCCAAAGTCATTGAGGATGAGGGAGGGACTCACCCTGCTTTCATTAAAATGCTTTTCCTTCAAAGCAAGACTTTTCCAAAAGAGAAGAACGTGGTCGTTTTCTGTTATGATTTTTAAGGCATCAGGTGCAGATAATGAAACTGAAAATTAAAGATGAGACAGGATGCAGTCAGTGGCTATGGACTGGAATCGCTGTTTTCCTGTCTGATGAGATAGATTAGATAATGCTAACCTGAGGGGCTCAGTAGGTTGAACATCTGACTCTTGGTTTAGGCTCAGGTCATGATCTCAGGGTCATGAGACTGGGACACAGGTCGGGCTCTGCGCTGAGTGTGGAGCCTGCTTGGGATTCTCTCTCCCCATCCCCATCTCCCTCTGCCCCTCCCCCCAATGCCTTTGTGCTGTCTCTAAAAATAAAATATTAAAAAAAAAAAAAAGAATGCTAACTCAAAAGGCTAGATTAAAGAACAAATAAAATACATAATGTTGTTTAGCGTAGAGCATAGCACATGGTAGACACTCTCTAACTGACATCTCTTTAGTTGTTGTTATAATACTTTTAGCCAAGAAACGTGGACAGTACTGCATTCAGTGGCCCTGAGAGCCAAGGATGCCAAAACCAAACTGGGTGGGGGACAAAGGGAAGCGATGGGATGGACACAGTTCCCTGGCTGGACTTCTGCTCTGGTTCCAGTCCGTCTCCTGCTCTCCCTAGTCCTGCCTCAGGGCCTGAGGAGCCTCAGAACTCAGCAAGGGGCCAGGGCCTGTGCGCGAACACAGAGCCCTAGAATGACACCCTGAATCCCGCCAGACCCACTACTCACATGGCCGGCCTGGTGAGACCGAACCTCCGTCACAGACACTGTGACATCGTCTGCTGCTGCCCAAGTACCCGAGCTCATGACCTGCTTTCTGAGCCAGAGTCTGACTGCTGAGCCAATCCCGGGCTGGCAGCAAGTCCCCTTCAATCTACTTCACGGTTCCTGGTCTCCCTCCTTGGCTACACATCTCCCTGCCGCGAGGAACCACAGGATTTCAGACCAGGTTCCCATTCTTGGCTTTCGTGGGAAACACTCAGTTTTATTTCCTAACTCTTTTGGGCATTCCTGCTCTCCTCTACCCCAGTGTCAAAACCAACTAGGCAGAGGGAGAGTGAAAAGAGACACAGCATAGCCTCCAGTCCACCACCCTACAGCCCAGGCACTGGAAGCCCACCCTGCCGGGCCCACTGTGGATACTGAAGAGGGTGTTTGTCCTTCCACTGTTACTGTCTAGGCGTCCGAGCAGCCCCATGGGCCCCTTCTTGTGTGAGAAGGACCCTGCTCTCCCTCCCATTTACCTGTGGTGATTTTTATACTGGAATCTTTGCTCATGTTCCCCAGCTGGACGATGATGTGGTATTTCCCTCCAGGCTCCAACTTGGTAAGGGTGTATTCCACTGTACTGTTATGGGACTTTATTTTGTAGCTTCTGTCACTCTTTCTTATTAGATCTTTGACAGCAACTGCATATAACTGGGACAAAAAAAAAAAAAAAGAGACCCTTGGTAATCAGAAACTTGGTGCTTTTTTACTCTTTGCAATTCAGCAGTGGGCAATGGAAAACCCAAGTGTATCAGGGGGCTGCAAGCCACAGCAACCTCCTTCTGAGCCCGCAGCGACTCCGTTCTCTGGAAAGCCTTTAGGGTGGCCAGGCTCAGACTTGGAACAAGCACTCACTCCCAGAACTGTGCACAGAATTATCGATTCGACCCAAAAAAATGACCCCAGGGAAAGTCACATTCACTGTGGAATCCATACAGAGGTTGGAACAGGCAAGAGCAATTCAAGTTCAGTGCTCAGTGTATCTCCCCGGCTGTAATAGCTCTGGGTGGTGTCAGAGGACACAACGAAAGGACAGCAAATTCTACTTATTATCTCCCAGGTTGCTTTTTACATATGTGGAGGCCAGAGCAAATACAGGGACATGGGGCAAGTACAGGAAACTCAATCACCAGGAAGAACTGGAGAGTCAAGGAAAGCCTGAGCAACCGAGCACTGAAGAATACCCCAGGGATGAGGGAGAGGGCAGAGGGGACGGAGGGAAAATGAGCCTGGGTCAAAGGAAAATGGGAGCCATTTTCCAGAATTACTGCCTCTTCTTTTATTCTTTTTATTTATTTATTTTTTTTAGAGCGGGGAGGAGGCGGCAGAGGGAGAATCTCAAGCAGGCTCCACGTCCAGCACAGAGCTCAATCTCATGACCTTGAGATCACGGCCTGAAATGAAACCAAGAAATGAAACCAGTAAACCTTTTTGTAAAGGTTCAGGTAGAAAATACTAGGTTTTGAAGGTCAAATGGTCTCTCCCTCCATGATTCACTTCTGCCCTGCGCAGTGTGAAAGCTGTCACAGGCTAAGATTTAAATGACCGGTTAGAGCTTGGTTCTAATAAACTGTATTTACACAAACAGTCAACAAGCTGCACGTGGCCAACTTGCCTCTGTCGGCCAACCCGCTGTAGAGGCTCAGGGAAGGGAAGGTGAGACGGCAGAGAAGAAAAGAGGGACAAATGACTAGAACAGCTAGATATCATGGAGAAAGGACAACTCAGAAGAGGCACCTATAAGAACCCCCTCTTTGGGCACACAGATACGGCGATGAGACCTCCCGCTGAGCTCCCACTGCCAAGCCTAGCTTTCATGCGGGGTGACAGCACCCTCTGGCCTGTCCCCAACCATGCCAAGAAAAGGAATGGCTGGCTGGACACCCGGCCCTCTCACCAGGTCCTGGTCAGGAGAATCATAGGGGGATTCCCACTTGATGACAGCCGAGGTTTTGCCAGTATGAACAACGTGCAGGTGACGCGGTGGGAGCCTGCTGTCTGGGATCATCTTGACCACGACGTAGTCGGAGGATGGCCCTTGGTAGGGCACCACCACCCGCACCTGAAACCAATACCACAGGGACGCATGGAGTTGGCACCAAGCCATTCTTTTCAACAAAAGAGTGACAGGTGTACACAAAATTCAATCAGTAGTAAAGATATAAAAGGTGAAACAATGCCCCACCTTCCCCAGATCTCTAATCCATTTTCCTAGAAACAGTAATAGTTTTATGTGCTTCTTTCCAGAAATGTCTTATGCTTCTGTAAGCACAGACGCACATATGTGCATACCAGATACATACTTGTATAGGCATGTGTACACGTAGCCTGTTTTTCTTAACTTTTTTACACAAATGAGAAAATTTTAGGCTCATATTTTCAGGCTCTTCACTTCTCTCACTTAGTAAGATAGCACAAATATTTTCCACGTCAGTACTATTTCTTTGGAAGATTCTTCTACCTCCGTTCTATCTCTTTTGAAGGGTTGCCCTGTATTCTTAACCAGTCTTCTCCTGATAGCCATTGGTTTCAAATCTTCTGCTATCACAAGCAACAGTATACCCAGCATCTTTTTCCATCTATCTTGGCACACGTGTAAGTGTATGTGGGCTAAGCTCCTAGTCCTGGAAATGGAATGTGAATTCCTGTGAATGCTTATGCATTTGCCAAGTTCCCAATTCCCCACGGAGATGCGGTTGGTTACTGGGTCATTCAGTCCTTTCTTGAAGTAGGAATCCAATGCTTTCACAGAAGAGGAACCACCCTCTTGCACACACAGATCCTGGAGTCATGCCTCCAGCTCCCCAGGCGCAGGGTCTGAGCTAGGAGCCCAGGATTTAAGCCATCCTTAAAACACAGAAACCCCTCTGGACTCCCCGGTAGGGAAAACTCACCAGAAACAAATACTGCTCGTCCCTACTGACAATGATTGTTTTGTTGTGCAGGGAAGTAGTCAGGCTCTGCGGACTGCGATACAGGTCAAGGAAGGACGTAGCATAGAAAATACCGTAAACCTGGCAAACAGGATGGAAAAGGACATCAGCTCCATGGCCAGAGACCTGGTTCTCTTGAAATCCCTAATTAATGCCCTCGAGCTTCAGGAGCGCTCAAGAGAGAAAAGTCTTCCTTCAGCATTTATTTACAGAGAAGGTACACTGGGGCAGGCACTGAACCCACCACCACCAAGATAAGCCAAGATAAACATGGTGGGCTCTCTGTCCTCAAAGCACTCGTTTTTAAAAAAATATTTTATTTATTTCAGAAAGAGAGAGAGAGCACGCACGCACACGCACGGAGGAGGGGAAAACGGGGAAGCAGGCTCCCCGCTGAGCAGAGAGCCCCATCTGGGGCTCGATTCCAGGACCCCGCGATCATGACCTGAGACGAAGGCAGACGCTTAACCCACTGAGCCACCCAGGCGCCCCTCAAAGCACTCATTTTTGAGGAAGGAGGGCAGAGAAGAACAGACAGGATTATAAATGATGAGCTGCAAGTACAGAAAGTGAGATACTGCAGAAAAAAGATGGCACGAGGAGGCGGGGAGAGCAGCAGAGTCCTCAGTGCAGACCACACGCTACCTGCAAAGCGTGGCTGGAAGGACAGACGGGGAGGAAGTCAGTGCGTCTGTGGAGGGAGGCTGAGGAGGGACGGCAGCACGGCTGACACGGGGAGCTGCCCAGAAGACACCCACTCTTCCTCCCCTCCTCAGAAGAATCCTGGTTCCTCGTGAGAATTGCCGGCTGGAAGAAAATCTACATTTCCCACCTCCCACCTCCCACCTCCCACCTCCCTGGAAGCTAGGAGAAGCCACGTGACAAAGTTCTGGCCAATGAGCTGCAAGCAGAGGTGTCACATGAGAGCTCAGCAAACACTCAAGAGAAATGGAGGGAGAAACCCTTCCTACCCCCCTCCTGCTGCCTGGAACACCGATGACGGTGTGGCTTCAGACCTCCTGGACCATGAGGTGACCTTGAAGATGGAGGTCACAGGCAGCCTGGGTCCCCTGTCAGACCTGCTGCTGTAGAAACCCAGGCCTGCTGAAGGACTCCACCTTCTTTTCATGAGGAGGGACGTTAACTGTGAAAGCCATGGTCACTTCCGGCTCTGTTCTGCGCAGCCATTCTTATCGCCCACTGACACAGGTGGAAAATGGGGAGTTTAAAGCAGGCAGGGGTTTCTGATGCGCCTGGAGTGGGGGCGGCCACCGAGGGGTTTATAACAGGGTGGGGTACGCACTAAGGAAGCTTTGTCTGGCAGCATGGAAAGGCCCACAGGCAGGTGAGCCGGGGACTTGAAGGAAAGCTGTGAAGAAAGTCTGGAGAAGTCCTGGGAACCGACAGCACAGATCAGGGACGTGCACAGGGACTTCTGAGTCCCAGACAGCTGTGCATTTTCTGTGCTGCTTGGCAGCCAGGCCCAGAGAGGGGAAGCCTACAGGGAAGGGGAATGAAAGCCCCAAGGGGGTGATAAGCCAGGAAGAAGTGTGAAAAGAAAGAATTAGGGGACTCGAGGGAATCAGAAAGCAAGGCGAATGGAGCAGGACTAGGGGACGGAGGGCACTCAAAGCACAAGACGGGAGTGGGGGCTCTGGGCTCAGAAGCAGGCCTCGTTTCTGGAGGAGAGGCCTGGGGCCGCCGTGAACCCAACTGGGCAGCTCTGGCCAGGGGCCTAGAGAAAGCTCCATGTGCTAGGGAGGGCTGGGGACAGGCAGGTCCCAGAGATGCACAGCAGCTGTGGCCGTTCTCATGGTGGAGAGGGATGACTGGGGTGGCAATCCGAGTCCTCAGTGGTCTGAAGTTGGGTAGAAGCTGAGAGCTACCTACAGGTGATTTCACCGGCCCTGTCACCCTCTGAGAGCTGCGATGGGCATACCCAGGCTATCAGCAAGGATGAGGAAGAGCAAGGCTACCTCTCCAAGTTCACATGCAACGAGAGACCCTGGAGTCAAGTGGTGTTCCAGAGTGCCACAATGAGGCCCTACTCTGTGAACGCACTTGGGTGTGACAAGGTGGCCATGCTCTCAGCTGGTGTACTAGCAAGAAAGCACCTCTTTGTGAATGGAGTCGAGGGACAGGCGAGTCCTGGGCATGGCTCTGGGCATCTTATCTCTGTCCCTTCCTCAGGACCGGGCTGTGGAATAACAGAAGAGCAGAGGCTATCATGCTAGCCAGACCTGAGCTCATACCGCTTTACGGTTTCCTACAGCTTCAACTCGGGGCTTTAGCTTCCCCACTGGTAAAGTGAGAATATCCACCCCACCGAGCTGATGACAGGATCAAGTGGGACAGGGATGAAGGGCTCTCCTGGTGCCTCACTTCTTCCTTCTTCAAGGCCGACCTTCCAATCGCATGCAAACAGTGGTTCGTTCCCCATCGCTCTGTCCTGCTCCAAAGGCACACTGGGGATGCACACAGAAGACAAGACCAGGTCTCCTGCCACCAGCCACTGTGAAGACTCACTAAATCTCACAGACTGAGTTCTAAAGGCTTTTCCATTCGGAAAACTCAGTTAACAACCCTTCCCTTTAAGGAACTTACAGACTAGTTAGGAAGATAAGTAACACACAGAAGTATCCAATAGGATAAAGTAGGATCTAATGAAACAGTATTCTGGATGGCAGCACCTATAAATTGGGGGGGAGTTTGTAAGGGAAAGAGATCAAGTAGGAGATAGTAGGATTTGACTGCAGAGCAGAAGGACAGCAGGACTCTGGGAGGAGAAAGGACACAGGCCAGGCTGTGGAGGCGAGGATGGTGAAAATGTGCCAAGAACCTTGGGAGGACCCACCTGAGAGCAAAGTACACACTGGGGAGGTCTGGGAAATAAAAACCAGGTTCAAAAAAGCACAAATCAGACTACAGTGCACCAAAATGCATACATAATGACAAAAAAAAATTTTTAAAGGATCTATATGGCGTGTAGCAGGGACGCAGGGAGGAAGACGGGCACATCTGGGAGGAACAGCTCAAAAAGGTGACCTGTGGGTGGGGGATCACGCAGGTGGGGAGAGACGGGAGTGGCCTGTCACTGCTGCTACCACATCACTGTACCTGCAAGACAAGGGGAGTCCCAAGCACAGGAACATACACCCGCCCCCCCCAACACCTTGTCACACTCACGGTCTAGTCTACAGCTAAGAGCACAGGCATTTTCTCTTAGATGCCCGGCCAAGGTGTGGAAAGGGACGGCAGGTGCTTCTAGAAGGTAATACAGAACTACCAAGAGGACGTTTGTGTTCGCAGTAACAGAGAAGAAAAGCCCACGGCCTGGCATCAGGGCAGAGTCCAGACTGTCTCTGCAGTGGTCATCCTGGCTGACTTACCACATTCCTGGGGCCAGTCCAGGTACATTCCACTGCAGTCTGATTGATGGCCTTGGCTTTGAGGCTAGGAGCGGGTGGGCGGACTCCTTTGGTGGTGACATGCTCAAATGCCAGAGGGCTATCCCCTAAATCAGTCTTGGCCCAGGCAGAAATCTCATAGGACGTGTGAGCAGTCAGATTGGCAACTGTGAAAACAGGGACAGGAAGATGCAGGAGGAAGCTGGAGGCGTCTGCCAAGAATTGGTGTCTTGACAAACCAAGAAACCAATTCTTAACCCCAGAGAACAAACGTACATTACCAGACGGGAGGCAGGCGTGGGGTTTGGGTGAAATGGACGAAGGGGGTTAGGAGACACACTGAGTAATGTGTAGAACTGTTGAATCCTAGATGGTACATCTGAAACTAATATAACACTGTACGTTAACTAGACTGCAATTAAAAGTAAAAATTTAATTAAAAAAAGAATTATGTTTTGATATACAATGCCTTATTTTTTTAAGCCTTTAAAAAAAAAATCACGACGCCCAGTGTGGGGCTTGAACTCATGACCTGAGATCAAGAGCCGCATCCTCTTCCTACTGGGCCAGCCCGGTGCACTGACACTCTAGTTTTCAACATAATCTCTCAATTGCAGTGAGTCCCACATGTTGTAGGATTTTCATTATTTTACAAATCCATCCCAGTATTACTTAGTGGTGACAACTGCAAATAACTCACATGCCTGGGCGTTGGGTAGTTTCTTACAAAGCTGACCTTCCGGGCCTATATCTCGGGACAACCCTCTTAGCCATTTGGCCTTGGTAAACAGCTTGAAATTCTCCATGCCCTTCAACCCAGATGTCCCATGGAATCAGAGCACGCAAACATCTGTGGGGCATGACGTTACGCATCACAAACATAACCCGATACCCAGACACAGGGCAGTGCTTAAATAACGTGTGTTCCACGAGCTACTCTCCAGCCACTAAGAGTTGTCTCCAGGCATATTTAATGAGACTGGAGAATTCTTACAACTTTGTTAAAGGAAAAAGGCAGGATACAAAACTACAGTTGAGCCTTGAACAACACGGGTTTGAACCTATGCGGTCTACTTATAACACAAGTGTTTTCTATAGTCCAGGACTGTAAATGTATTTTTTCTTCCTTACGATTTTCTTAAGAATATTTTCTTTCCAGGGCATCTGGGTGGCACAGTCGGTTAAGCCTCTGACTCTTCAGTGTCGGCTCAGGTCATGATCTCAGGGTCGTGGGGTCAAGCCCCACATCAGGCTCTGCACTCAGTGGAGTTTGCTTAAGAATCTCTCTGCCTCCCTCTCTGCCCCTCGGCCGCCTCTCCTCAAAAATAGATAGATAGACAGATAGACGGAAAAACATTTTCTTTTCTCTAGCTGACTTCATTATAAGAACACAGCACAGAAGACAGACAGCATACAAAATATGTGTTAATTGACTGTTTATGCTATCAGTAGGATTTCTGGCCAACAGTAGCCTTGAGTAGTTAAGTTTCTGGGGGGGTCAAAAGTTATATGCAGATTTTCTACCAGGTCAGCGCCCTCTAGCCCCAACTGTTCAGGGCCACCTGTATTCAAACTGAGGCCATTTCCTTGTTTTTAAGACTGAAAAAACCAATAGCACTTAGCTTAGCTGCTGCTGCAGGAATTAAAAAAGAAAAAGCTTGTGAAGTGTTTGGCATGAAGTGAGCATCAAGCTGGCCCCTCACACACATCGGGCAACAGTGAAGAACACTACATTACTCCTGATTCGGCCGACTCCCCTCGGTGCCACATTGAGGCAATGAGATCAACAGTCCTAGAAGGTAGAGAGATGCAGGTTCCACTCCTGATGCTGTCACCTTCTGTGGGAATCACTTTCTCTCTCAACCTTGGGTTCTTATCCGTGAAATGAGCATATCCCAGAGAATTAGGATCGGGGTTCTCTAAGACGGTACCCCTAGAACACCTAGGTCAATGAGCTATGCACAGCAGGTGCACAGATACGAGAGGGACTGGGACATGACCTTCCCTCCTCCCTTAGCTCAGTCTGTCCATTCGCTCAACAAATGTGCACTGAATACCAACTCTGCCCCATGTCCTGTGAACCTTGTATTAGCAAAGGGGGAGGGAACCAGGCCAGAAAGGAGGGGCAGGCAACTCACATCCGGAACTTTCTTTTGGAACTCAAAAATCATCTGTACAGGGTTCACCTGGCTTCTTTCCAGTATCTCCTCCTTTAAGACCCCAACTTCCATTAAGAGCCAAGAAGCTAGAGAAGGGGGCTGGGAAGCCACCGAGTGGACCTGCTCCCGGAGGCAGGACTCACTGCTGGTCTCTTTATTCTGCTCACCTGAATGGCAGCCAGAGAAGAGCCCCCTCTTCCAGGCAGCCCCCAGACAAGCTCTGCTGCCAGGAGGTCTTGCTATCCCTACTCCTCCCTGCTCACACCCAGCTCTAAGGTGTTACCTTTGTGTGATAAGATGCTCCCCCGGAAGTTCAAAGTTCTCTTCTCTTGTTTGTGGGTGTCAAATGCCCAGAAAAGGTTCACCACATAGCCATTCACCTGCCGGAAACCAAGAAGCGGGTTAGGGGAACGGCACACAGCCAGGGAGCACAGCCAACACAAAAGACACCCCTTTGCTATTGTTCCTTAAGGCATCTCCTTTATCACAATGGACAGGTTGTTTCTTTTGCTCTTCGGATGGGTTCCCCGTGTGCTGTCATTGAATAGTTGGTTATACTACACCTACTTCTAAAAACAAACATGAGACTATATAACATACACCATAGATGTGACGAGACAAAAAATACTGATGCAGAAGGAAAGGACAAGGGCCAATCACAAAGGCGGAAAGAGGAACAACTTTAAAGTGAATTACGTTACAGTAATGAAGGCCTCATCTTAGCTCGGCAATCCTTGCAGTCAAGGCCAAGAGGTCAATACGAAAGGGGCTTACTCAGCTCCCACAGTCTACCAGGAGCAAATATACCCAGGCCTCAGGAAAGACTACCTTTCCTAAGTCCTGAGCTCGTAAAAGGCTTTGATCTGAAGATCTTTCGATAGGGGGCAACAACCGAAAAAATTAAAATGCTTTCAAGAGCAAAGACTATACGGACAGGGTTTATGGGCAGGCCACCCCTTACAGCAACGGTCTCTGAAGCCAAGGGCAGGCCACCAAATTGTGGTTCAGTAAGTGGAACAAGGGCGCCAAAGGCTGTCTGTCCCGCCACGGCTTCAGGGACAGGGAGGGATGGGAGGAAAAACAGACAAGAAAGAAAGAACATCATGGAAGGTGCCTCTCAGCTTGGAAAACCATGGGCACACAGAGGCTCATGGTGGTGTGGGCTCTGCAGACAGGCTGCGTGGAGGGCACGGTGGCGCCGGAAGGTGAGGATGCGGAGTGGCTGGGAGTGGATACGTTTCTAAGTTATCCAACTCTCTCTCTCACTGTGGGAACCTCTGCATTAGTGCTTCGCACCAGGAAATCCAATAAAGCTGAAAATTACAGGGCATACATATTCTGTTAACACCAACTCTTTATTTGCACTGTAGCTGTGAACCATTTAATTATATGGTTAAAAAAAAAAAAAAAAGGCTCCAGGCTGAGGCAGAATAATTACACGAGAAGGACTCAGGTTGTTCTTCATGGGGGAAGCAACCAACCTAGTCGCGGTATTTTGGTTTTACTGAATCGGGGCAGTGGCTCCTCTTCCTAGTACTGTCCCCGGCTACAGTGGTTCCATCGCAAGCAGAGCCCCACCCAACGGCCAGTCTGAAATCCCAAGGTTACCTTGATGTCATTCTCCATTGTCAGGGTGAAGCTCAGAAAATTCTCACCATAGCTGTCGATGTGGATATCTGGTGGTGGGATCACTGAAAACAATAACGGAATTCAAAAAGAGAAACCACGTGATGAAAAGTAAGGAAGGCAGGACCTCACAGTTTTCAACTCGACAGACAAAGCGATCTTTTAGTGGGAGAAGAAAGGGCTGGTGTTTCGCTGTTCTCACCCGTCTCTTTTACCGCTCTTGTCCCGAAGCCGAGGGGGGGCCCACAGTCGTCTGGTAAGCACACAACTATCTGGGCCCTGTCAGCTATCCTGGCACCTGAGTCAAGATCTAGAAAAGTTCCATGATGTAAACGCCCCCAGACAGCCCAGCGGCAACCTGCTTCTGAAACGCACAGGCATCCCCGTGGGCACCACCTCTCCCGGCACTAACAGAGTCCCAGCGGCTCCAAGGTTGAGGGCACAATAAATCCGAAGGCATAAGTTGTAAATACACGCGTGGCAAAATGGAAAGAACGTGGCCTCTGGAGTCTGACCAACTTGAGTCCAAATTCCCATTTGGACACTTAGACAATAGTGCAAGCGACTTATCTGCATACTAATGTTAACTCAACCAACGTTCCCATTCTTTCCGTTTCCAGTGAAGTCTTACCTATGACAGACTGAGGAACTGGGAAGTCACTGGCATGGGCACGATGAAAGGGGCAGAGAGGAAAGACCCCTCTCCATTCAAGGGATGAGAGCCTGGTGCTTATCCTTTGGAAGGTCTGCCCAAGATGGCGGACCGCACCCTGTCAGCCATGATCCAAAGGGCTCCACGGGATAACTGTTCATAAGCCCCTTACACAGGCAAGGGAAGAGACACTCGAAGGAGAAGTTAAGACTTGGTGGCAAAAGACATGCACCAAAATCTAGAGGAGTCCCTCCAGACAATCACCCATGTAACAGGAGTGGGTGAGGAAGAAAAAAAGGATGTTAGGGCAAGAAGAAAGGGTATTAGAGGAGTTTCAGGCCACCAACTCTGAGCAAAATGGTGAACATGTTGCCATCAAGCCAACTTGAATTACAACCACGGTGACTGGGGATGGGTCACAATCCTTCCCAAAGCCCAGTTTCCTCAGCTACACAACGAGCGTAAGAATACCTATAGGATGCATAAGGATTCAAGGAGATCGAATCACCTAAAACAGGAAGCACGGTGCTTAGCACAGACATGCTCGGTCCATGGCTGCTTCTCTTGTTGTTGCTAGGAATCCCCCACCTCCACTAATGCACGGGGTGCTTCTGGCGGATGTCACTGCTGCGTGTGTCCTCTGTGTGCCGTCATGGCGACACAGGCTCCCAGAAAGAACACAGCGCGCACTTTCTGACTCCGCACACTGACTGAGGCCTGGACGGGCCCTAACCAACATCCGTCCAAAGAGCAGGGGCTCACCAGCAAAATCCGACAAAAGAAGTCTAAGAGACCTTCCACGGCAGGTGTGACCTGTGTCCAAGGAATTCGAGGTACATGTCTTATTGCTGACCTTCCAGTGTCCCTTCTTCTCGGTGTGTATGTTTTGATCGATTTTGTAGAGGGAAATGACAACACAATCAAAACGCAAGGAGAGTGCGTACTCCGTATGCCTCTTCTAATGACTCCCCAGCGCCCTGTTACAAACGCTGGCCGGCTTCACTAAGTTTGGCTGCCTCCTGCCTGATCTCGAGGAGCCCAAATGTTATAGTGACTCTCCATAAGCCACAGCCTCTCACAGGCTCAGGCTAAGGTAAAACAAACCCACCGCACGTGACACCTCACTCCGGGATCGGAAGCCACGAGTGCCAGGGCTAAGTTCGAGAAGCACTTGAGAAAGCGAGCTACAGTCCGTCTCCCCGAGTGTGCTGGAAGCCTTCCTTTTAATTGCTTTAATTCACTCCTTCGTCAGCGATCTCACTGGCTCCTCCCTGACACCCGTGGGAGAGTGAAGGAAAGCACAACAGACCCTGCCCTCTCAAGGCACAGATGCAAGCTGGACCCGAGCAGTGGGAGCAGGCGTCTCAGCCCAGGGGAAGCCGGGCGGCCTGGTGGCTAAAGGCACAGGCTTCGGACTCAGGAGGATCGGGCTCCGATCCCCACTCTCTGCCGTTTACCGACTGTGTGGGAAGTGCCTTAACTTCCTTCTAGCTCCTTATCTGTCCTTATAGCTGTCTGGAGGCTGCTAAGGGTTCAGTGAGATGGGCCGACGTATGCAGTGAATACAAGCATGGCCCTCGGCGAGCAGTCGGCTATCACTGATGTCACCTCTAGTGCTAGAAACTTCCATCTACGCATCGTGTGTCGGTGCCACGGGGGAAGTTACACGTGTCAGCAGAGTGCTCTTAGAAATGCCATCAACAGACACATACACAACCATGTCTGTCTGTCGTGAGAAGGAAGGACTCCTTTATTCCGCAGTACTGCGCGTGAGCCCAAGAGCTGGGCATGGCAGCCTCTGGAAATCTCCTTGTCTGTCCACACCTCGAGAAATGCTCGGCTCTAGAAGAAGTACCTTCGACAGGCCCCGGAGAAACTCTGTATCTGAAGCTCTACGGAAATCCCTGGAAATGTGTACGTGTTGGAGGGGGAGGAGGGTGCCTGAAATTTTCTCATCTATGCCTCTCCGCTTCCCAGTCGCACTGAAAGTCACTTCCAAAGGGTTTCTATCTTCTCTCAACCTGCAAACGCTGGAATCGTTTACCTTTGCCTTTGACGGTGGTGATGGATTTAGAACCGCTCCAGTTTCCTACTCCACGGCTCGTCACCGCAGCCACCTTTCCAAATCAGAGCGTGAGTTAGTATAAAATAAGGGCACTACAGCATACGGCGAGGGTTCGGAAGGAGCTGCAGGGCTGAGACTCGGGCATGAGGGTGGCAAACGGTTTATGCAGACAGATCCCCGACACTCAGAGGCCCCAGCAACTGCGAAAACGGGGGGTTGGAGACAACGGGAGGGGGCGGAGCGGGGGAGGAGAGGGTGTGGGATCTGGGCAGAGGGAGCTGTGATGGTGTAGACACAATGGATTTCTGCTGATTGATAGCGCTCAGGTTCTTCTATATCGTGTGGGGGCGGGGGGAGCCTGTGGGTCCCTGCAGCCCCACATAAACATACATGTATGTGAGAAAGAGGACTGAGAAAATCATCAGTATCATGGAGTCTGTGTACACAGTTAATGGTCCCAACAAACACAGTCGGCGCGAAAGCTCTTTTCTGCTAAAGGTATTGATACCATATTGCATAAGATCCCCACAACAGCAGCTTCTAAATGCTACTTACCATAGCTCTGCCCACCCTGCAGCTAAAGAGAAGCAGAAAAGCGGGAGGTGTTAAGAGTAGAGAGGTGCAGGGGCGCCTGGGTGGCTCAGCGGGTTAAGCCTCTGCCTTCGGCTCAGGTCCTGATCCCGGGGTCCTGGGATCGAGTCCCGCATCGGGCTCTGTGCTCAGCAGGGAGCCTGCTTCCCTTCCTCTCTCTCTGCCTGCCTCTCTGCCTACTTGTGATCTCTGTCTGTCAAATAAATAAATAAAATCTTTAAAAAAAAAAAAAGAGTACAGAGCTGGAACACTAGCAGAAAACCTGCGTGAAAAGCAGGTAAAGCTGCATTACCATAAATTCTCGGTTATCTGAGGGAGATGTGATTTCAAGTTCTCTGGGGCACTTGTTTAAGAGACTGAAATGATGATGAGCTCCCAGGGCAAGGGGGTAGGTGTTTAGCGGACTACCAGCACATATCTCATAAAGGTCAGCCTGGCGTTCTCCTGTGCTGAGACTACCCAGCTGGCTGAGACGGGGGCTGACACTCACTCTGACGGTGTATGGAGCGTTGACCAGTAAATTCTTTATTTCCGTAAAGTTACTAGCAGCCCTCTGGGAGGCCCACATCTTGGAACCACTCCTGCTGTATTCCACCTAAAGTGAAAAGAAAAAATTATTAGTAAGGTAACCGATCGTCTGGGACATCCTGATACCTTACAAGGAGGCAGGAGGAGAGAGGGAAAGATGCAAAACGTTCTGATGGGTGGACTATTTACCCGGCAATACCAAATCAAGTCCTAGCCATTCAGAACACGGCCCTGGTAGACCCAGAGATCCGCTCACCCGGATACACGTGGCATGCCGCTCCTAGAAGTTACTTACAATGTACTCTCGAATGAGGCCATGGGAGTGGGTGGGAGGAATCCAGTGGGCCACAATCACGCCTTCCTCTTCCCTGTGGAGTGACAGCTGGAGATTTTGCGGGGCGTCTGGCACTAGGAAAGAGTCAACTCAGGGTTAAAACCCATCTGCATACTGGTAAATGGGAGGAACATCCCTGAGATTGAAACAAAGACTAGAAAGAATCCAGGGACAGCACTGGGACCAATCCACTAGTAAAGGCTGTAAGTTTGGTCTTCACCTCGATAAACCTTTCCTCTCTTCCAGAATGAGAGGCATGCTGGGCACACATAAGATCGTGGCTTAGTTCTTCTCTATACATGCAGCCCATGTCATTAGGCTCCCACACTCCTAAGTGTCCTTGGGAAACTCTCTGCAAATCCCACAGAAGGTCCTGCACACACCATCAACAGAAACTAAGAACACTTACGTCCTTCTGGCGTCCGCAGAGTCACAAAGTCGTTGGTGTTATGCACTTTGCTGAGGCACTGGACCTGCACTTTGACCTGGTATGTGGTGTCTGGCTTCAAGACTTTTAATATGGTGTTGGTTTTATTGCTGTGCGTCTCCACAGTCTTCCAGATACCCTCCCCAACCATCCTGGCCGAAAGAAGAAAGACACCGTCAAATCAGAGCAGCGTGGGCTCGCAGGGGACGCCCGGGCTCAGTTAAGGAAGAGTCGCTCTGTGAGCACCACGGGAGTTTGCAAAATGTCCAGGGCTGGTAAGAACACTGTTTTCTTCTCTCGCGGCCAAGATGGGACCCACCTGTAGTAGATGTTATATACACAAGCAGCAGAAGGCATTTTCTTGGGCCGCGTCCAGGTCAATGTTACGTCCCCAGAGAAGTCAGCCGTCCACTGAAGATTCTGAACTTTGTATACAGTTAGTTCGTCTAGAGACATGAAGCGGGGAAGAGAAAGAAAGTGGGATCTCAGAAATCCTTAGAGGTCCCGTGATGTTTGGGGGGACCTACCATGATCTAGGTTGTCAGGCCATGGTCAGCATCTTAAGACATTCCAGGAAAAAAAAAAAAAAAAAAAATAGAGAGTTCAAACCTTCCTATACGACCTTGCCCAGGGTCTCCTAAATTTCCAGTCCCAGCATTTCCCTTGCATTTCTCTTCCATGTCTACAAAGAGATAAGCCTGCTTCCTCAAGAGGGAATTCTACAGATCCAGGGATGACATCACAGCAGGGTCCATTACTGCGACAGACTGAATGTGGGTGTCCCCCAAAATTCAAATCCTGAAACCCAATCCCCAACATGATGGGGTTAGGAAGCGGGGCCTTTGGGCGGTGATCAGATCATAAGGATGGAGTCTCATGAATGAGATCAGTATCCTCATAAAAGTGACCCCAGAGAGCTCCCTCACCCCTTCCGCTGTGGTAGGACACAGGGAAGCCAGCTGTCTATGAACGAGGAAGCAGGCCCTCACCAGACGTGGAATCTGCTGATGCTCTGGTCTCGGGCTTCCAGCCTCTAGAACTGAGAGAAGTTTCTGTTGTTCATAAGCCCTTCAGTCTGTGGGGTTCTGTTAATAGCATTTCCAGAAGACTAGGACAATTACTAAAGGCCCTCCAGACAGAAGGACTGCGTTGACCCCGCCACAAAGCCTGAGGTTCTGGGATCGTGGTGCACCCGCACGAAGTGGGCCATCACAGAAAACAAACCCAAGACCAGCGCTTCCCTCACAGAGATGAGGCCCAGCTACCTCAGAGGCAAGACGAGCCCCCCTTCACCGGGCGCTCCAAAACTGGGCAAGAAGCGGCTTCCCCTGCAGACCGAGGAAAGGCTCACAAGGTTCACAAGGGCCCCAGGGGTGGCACTCACCGCTGCAGGCCCTCTCGTCGCTCTCGTCCGAGCAGTCCAGGAAGCCATCACAGCGCTCGGAGAGCACGATGCACGCCTCGCCATCCTCACACTTGAACTCCCTGCTCATACAGGTCAAGGTGCTGTGCGTGGCTGCAACAGAGGGAAGGGCGCGTTGTGGTAACGGCCGAGCATGTTCAGGGGAAGTGGTCTGTGCTCATCAGCTTCTCATTCGAAATACGCCTCTGGAATGAGGACCAGTAACCCCTTGGTGGCGCTGGGACACCTCCTTATCTGACAGGAGCACAGGAATCTGCCTCCAGGAAAGGGAAGAGCTTTGGGGTCAAATGATCGAAAGAGGACAGAGTAATTTACAGGCTCCATGGTGATGCGCTGGCATCGGTCATTGGGATGCAGGCCAAGAAATGGTGCCGTGTTCTCATGAGAGAACCAGCACAGCCAACAGGAATGGATAATGGATCCAGAGATGCAATCCCAGAAATGAAAAGATACAGGGGGTTGGGGTGGGGTGCAATGTTTTAACAACTGTTCTCAAGCAGCGAGGGCTCACGTGAAGGAAGAATTAAGACTTTGCACGTCATTAGAGTAGAGGCACAGATTTCAATTAAATACACTTTTGAAAGAGCTCTCGAGTATAGTAATTGTCAATAAAAGAAAGGAAATGTGAAGCTTTTTACAAACTACAATCCCTCATCTCCTGGAAAATCATTGTATTAAAGAGCTCAGTGACATGCTGAGCTGAAATTGGTTTGCCTTGGGGAGGTAGGGGGTGGTTTGGTTACAAATAAATAAAATTGCACTAGAGCATTTAGAAAACGTTGGAGACTCACTAGTATAAGAAAACCAAGATGGAATTCATCCTTCCATCTATCTACCCATCTACGCACCCATTCACCCACTTACCCACCCATTCAACCAGCCACCCATTATCACCCACCCCCCCATCGAAACACCCATCCATCCATCCATCTCCCCCTTCATTATTCATCGACCCATCCATTCATCCACTCACCCACCCAGCCATCCATCTATCCAACCACCCATCTTCTCAACCATCTACCCATCCA